TGTGGTTTGTCATTTCCATCTGGGAAAAGGGGATTGGACAGGGTTGTTGAATTTATAAAAGGCCTGTAAAAGAACTCTCCCTCATTATGCTTCTCCCACTAACGACTCTGCTTAGGCTCTCACACTTCAGGTAGTGCTGCACTGCATGAATGTGACACCTTTTGATGTGTAAAATACTATTTCTAAGATCCATGAACTTCAAAACAACACAGATCTTTTCCTTATGAGACTTCTGACAGTTCAATCTTTTGACAGTACAATTTTCCTATAGGCTTTTTTTTTTCAAATTGGCATCTGATTGATTCCTTGTCTTTAATTACTAAGTTATTTACTTCTATACAAATAATCTATGTGGAATGATTTGCATTAAACATTGTTCACTACAGCCAGCTTATTTGTGATGTCCATTTGATATGCTCCAAAGCATGACTTAATTTATCTAAAAAGTATAAACTGGGTAGATAGTGAGGGAAGGAAAACTCTCTCTGGACAAATAGGCAGAGATCAAGATCTCAGTGAGGAGATTGAGCAAATATTCCATGGCTGCAAAAGTAGCAGTGCAAGGCCAGAGTTGATGGGGCACACCTAGCTGGAGGCAAGTAAGGGCTGCTCTGATTTTGAAACAAAGTCCTTTTTAATTTTGGAAAGTCTCCAGCATGCCCACAGAGGGTAGGATATAGTGTTGAGATGAAATGCTGACATCAGGATTTAGAAAGGCAGGAAGGATCAGTGAACTGGGCTCCTGGTCTGTGTGTACTGGAAGGTACATCTTACAGAGAGAATATGAAGGAAAACGTTTTCATGTTCTTCCAAAGAGTGTCCCCCAATATTAACTTTTGCAGAATCTGTACTGTGATTCTGTGCTAGAATCTGTGAATTGGTGCTTACTCCATGGCTTGAGTTTTATTCACAGGATGAGACAGTGTTTTCCCTGATGTGATGCTTCATTACACCCTGCTGATGGAAGCAAGGAAGAACAGCAGTGAGCACACTCAGAATGGCCAGACTGAGGACATGAAAATCACAGAATTGCTCGGGTTGGGAATGGTCTCTGGTGATCATCCAGTGCAATCCCCCACCAAGGCAGGGTCACCTGGAGCAGGTGACGCAGGAACACATCCAGGCGTCTTTGAACATCTCCAGAGAGGGAAAGTACCAGTAATGGGAGACTGGATGCTTTTAAAGGAGACAAAACCAGAAACCCCAGAAACCTTAGAGGGATGAGAGAAACTTGGGAGCACTGGCAAGGCCTCCCTCACCAGGAGCCCCTTCACCAACACCCTTCATGGGCACTGTCCCAGTGCTCCGTCACCCTCGATGTAAAGAAATTCTTCCGCATGCTGAGGTGAAACTTGCGTTTTAGTATATGCCCATTGCTCCTCATCCTAAGGAAAAAAGGGGAAAAATCCTACAGTGCTGAGAAAACAGAACTATTTACAAAAACAAATGCTGACTTCCCTTAGATTTCCTTGCGCAAGGGCAGCCCTTACCGAGCACTGGCAGCCAGCCCTTGCTCTCACGTCCCCGGGCAGAGCACG